CTGAACATTGCTCAAAGACCGTGAGAAAGCTACCTCAAAATTACCATATATAGTAATCATCATTTGAAAGACCCGGAAACTATGCTTGTATTGAATTGAGTATTGGTTTGGTTGGGCACTATATAGAATATATAGACTATGCAGACTATTTAGTATGTGACTGTTGACTATATTGACTATATATGCTTGTGCAGAGACTATATAGCATATAGTGGCTATATTGTAGCCACTACAGCTATAATCACTATATATCATGACACACAATGCTATCATGACTATATTGACTATTGAGACTACAAAGTCACCACTACAGCTATTTCAGATTTGGGATTTTCCTGATGGAGTACGGTTGCGACAATCTGAACGTTCAGGAGCTTAGCGCCTAGTGCTTCATGACCTCGCGCGCAAACCTTCACCTTGGGACAAGCTGATCGCGTCTGCTGCTTGCGACCCTCTCTAGCATCCGACTTTCAGCTTCACCTCGTACCATCTCAAGGTGTTGCTTTCGAAGGCCGGGCCGCCTTGCCCTTATAAACGCGACACAAGCAAAATTGAGCCTACGACATCTTGTTTCCCGCCTTCACACTTGTGCCAAAAAAATTCCAACAGACGGGCGGATTTTTCTTTTTCGTTTCGTGCTGCTCTACAGCACATACTATATTGCTCTGCTCTAAGCTCTCGATTCCCTATCAAGGCTTGACTTGTAACATCAGGAAATTGTCGAGTGCTTACATGTCTTACAGGCCCTTACAAAAAAGCAGCATTCTTACATGAAAATAGCAGACCAATGGTGCATCTAAAGGGAACACTTTATAGGTAAAAAATACTCATAATGCACTCAAGAATGCAGTGCAAAGTTTTCATGAAGGCCTCTTCACTGGTGAGTTCTGGGGCACCACCTCCTTACAGACTTTTTCAGCCCAGATGACCATCATTACACTTACATGGCCTTACATGTCTTACAGCCCTTATACACCCGCATAAGGGCACTTTACGGTTTCCTGATGAAGCCTTCCAATGTGGCGGTTACTGGTAACGTATAACGTCTCCGAGTCTTTCGATTGAACTTTTCACTGATATCCTTTCACGCACAGATTTTGACGATGCCTCACCCTCCGAGAAAGAGGGGGAAGAGTGTGTAATAGGCCAGGTGTTCAAGCAATCGCATGTGCAGCTCAGCAGTCAAGCCTTCGAGCTTATGGTCGTTGGTTGGTTGTTCAAGTTGCCAATCATGTCCTAGTGCAGTGACTCACCATTGACCAACCACGACCAATATAGTGCGCAACATCCCTGTGTAAGGTCGAGGAGGACGCAAAACGTATAGTCTACAACCGAGACAACAAACTGGTGAGGGTGTCATCGCCGTGAGGTTTTCTGCGCAATTGCGTCTGTTGTGAGTCCCCATATGCTCAGATTGATTACAAATTCAAGCTACCATTCCTCCTGCCTTGTCATTTAGTCAGGCAAGAAGGGTGAGTCTCTGTAAAGATACATTCATGTGCATCTCAAGTATCTATAGGGATATGCAATGGGCAGCCAGGCTGGGTCTGTCTCCAGGTATGCCGCCAGTTATACTACTGTTCATTTCCATTGCCTCTGTTGACACTGTTTCTTACAGATCCTTTCAATGTAGTCGAGCATGATGTGCCTTTATGGCACTGCTGTGCTTGACGACCATCCAGAGGACTTTGGTGGTGAAGAGACTTTGGTGCGGCCTGTGGATTAGATTACAATAGAATAAACCACTACGATGTCTAAGTTTGTAAGGATAATTGTTGTGCATGTCACTGACAGTATTTTGTCATGTAGTTTATGATATATAGCGCAATAAGTCGCTATGAATGAATATTGTTTCATTTTTGTTTCATTTTCAGTCAATTTTCTGAATATTCCATATATGGGCAGGGACGTGCTCAGGTCGGTGACGCTGGCCGTGGTTCACCTGGCTGTCAGCCATGCAAGCCTTGCGGCCTGAAGCGAAGGCTGAGAGAAAGCTGGTCGGTCAGATGACATGCAGCTCCAGCTATCGTCTGAAGATAATGTGAAGATGAAACAAGACTTATTTCATGTTCGTATTCAGTCGCATCCAACCTGCCCTTCAGCCTTCGGTCAGGTTGGGCGGTTATCCTGGGGAGGACACAGGCACCGGCTGATTACAACCTGAATCCCAGTCAAAACCGCATCCAACTAGATCGAACTCCATCTAATTAAATTGAATATGTGAATCCAAATATGTGCAATTCGACGAGATCTGGTCCCTGTACGACACAATTCGATGGGCGCAACAAGTACGATTGAATAGCATGTATTTACATCGAGTTGTAGTTCTACCCTGTCCCGCCGCTACTGGGACTGCCCAATTCAATGTGATTCGATAGTAATGCATGGTGCATCACATGCATCACATTGCGAGCCACCTGTATCGAATACCATCTATTCTTCTTGATCTGGGGACATATAATGAACTCGATGGCAAAAGCCTGATCTAAGACAACGTATATTGGGTCAATATCCAAAATACTACTGAGATGTCGCTTTGACCTACTTTGTCTATGGCATCGTTTGATTCGTGCTTGCTCCAACATGCGACTCGGACTCCGGAGCTACTGCCGCGGCAGCGTCCAGAATTGACTTCGCAAGAGCTCGGTTCTGTAAAATTGAAGTTAGAATGAACTCTACGAAATTGCCGAAGGAATACACACCTGCTTTGCCGCATCACTCTTGAATTTCTTTATGTTATGAAGGGGTATCAGTATACAAGTGCGTTAGAAAGAGTAGTATCAATGCGCTTACATTCTTCTCTATTTGTGTCAGCTTCTTCCAGTAAGCATCAAACTCTGCTTCACGACTACCCGGGTCCAGGTTGGGGCTC